ATTACAAAAGGAAAGCAACTCATCAAAGATCTCAACCGATTATTAAAATCAGGAGGTTTTACTTTGAGAAAATGGTCCGCAAATCATCCAGAACTTCTAGAAAATATAAAGCAGAACAGCAGCAATAGTGAAATTATATTCAACTTCAAATCAGAAAGTACGGCAAAAACATTAGGCCTTCGATGGAACTCTTGCGATGATATGTTCACTTTTAAATACAATATGGCTAATTCAAAGGCGAAAATTACAAAACGATTACTTTTGTCCGAAATATCAAAAGTATTTGATCCCCTGGGTTGGTTATCCCCACTAACCACAAAATTAAAACTAATATTCCAAAGGTTGTGGGAAAATAAAATGCATTGGGATGAAGAAGTTCCGGGAAACATACAGAATGAATGGTTAGCTATAAAAACAGACATGGAATGTTTAAATCAATGCAAAGTACCGCGTTGGATCAGATATCAACCTAATAACGTCATCGAACTGCATGGTTATTGTGACGCATCGACGAAAGCGTACGCGGCGGTTATTTACGCACGAATACAGAAAAATGAAGAATATTCTGTGGTCCTAGTAGCCGCTAAGACTAGACTCGTGCCTGTATCTAAATCTGTATCATTACCCAGGTTGGAACTATGTGGAGCATATTTGCTAGCGAAGTTAATGAATAAAGTTAGTAACTGTTATAGCAAAATGGAAATCCGTATGTATGGATGGACAGATTCCATGGTGGTTCTAAGTTGGTTGCAAGGTGACCACAGCCGATGGAAACCCTTCGTAGCCAACAGGACTAAAGTTATTACAGCAACTATGAAGTCAAGCTGCTGGCGATACGTGAAGTCGGAGGACAATCCAGCCGATGCAGCAAGTAGAGGCATTTCAGCCTCACAATTGAAAAATAAATCTCTGTGGTGGGAAGGGCCGCAATCGTTGAAAACATTTAATGAAAAATTAGTTACACAGCCAATTACTTATAACACGAATCAAGAACTAAAAATCAAATCAACTGTAAGCAAAGTCAATACTGTACAAAATAACAATGCAGCAGAAAGCATTATTTTACAATTATTACACAAATTCAGCTCTCTTAATAAAATAATTAAGATAGTAGCATGGATTTTACGAGCCATGAAAACGATACAAGTCAAGCAGTCTATTACAGCATTAGACAAACCTACTTTACCAGAATATCTTACCTTGCATGAGCTGCGTGCAGCAAAGTTACTCATTCTAAAATATGTACAAAGAATCGAGTTTGCAGATGAAATAATATCATTAAGAAGGCATAAGTTGAATAACAAAAGCAAGTTATTAAAATTAAATCCCTTCCTGGACCACGAGGGTATCTTAAGAGTTGGAGGCCGGTTGAGTAAAGCAGACATGAACATGGATATAAAACATCCCGCAATATTGCCTTACAACAGTCGATTTACTACCTTAGCTATTCAGCAGGCACATCAACTCACCTTTCATGGTGGCCCACGCTTAACTTTATTTAATCTTAGGCAGCGATATTGGATAATCTCAGGAAATAAAGCGGTGAAGAAAGAATTACGAAACTGCGTGACCTGTAAAAAGCATGAGCCCAAACTACAGCAACAATTGATGGGACAGTTACCTTTAGCAAGGAGTAACCCGGCCCCACCATTCTATCACTCTGGTGTGGACTACACTGGTTTCGTAGATGTTAAAAGCAATAAGGGACGTGGCATCAAAACCACAAAAGGATATATTGCACTATTTATTTGTTTGGCGACTAAAGCCATACACTTAGAGCTTGTATCCGACCTGACAAGTTCTGGATTTTTAGCAGCTTTACGGCGAATGGCCGCCAGAAGAGGAGCACCACGCCATCTTTATAGCGATAATGGGACGAATTTCGTCGGAGCAAATAGAATGCTACAGGAGAGCTATTTCAATATCGAAAACATATGCGATCGTAACTTGTTCTCAGAATTAACAGATTTAAACATAGAGTGGCACTTTAATGCCCCATCTTGGCCAAGTGCTGGAGGCCTATGGGAGCGAGCTGTCAGAAGCGTAAAATATCACCTTAGACGAGTAATTGGAGAACAGAAACTTACTTTCGAAGAGTTCAGCACCATATTAGCCCAGGTAGAAGCTTGTCTGAACTCTAGACCTTTGTGTGCTTTATCTGAAGATATTGATGATCTGAACGTCCTTACCCCAGCGCATTTCTTGACTGGAAGGTCTGGAACTACTATAATTGAAACTGAAACAGATGCTCGAACTAGATGGCATCTATCAAATAAAATAGTCAACGACTTATGGAAAAAATGGAAGTTTGAGTACTTAACGCAGTTATCTATAAGAAGCAAATGGCGAAACACTGAGCCAAACATCAATATAAATGATTTAGTGACCATCCAGGACGAAAATCTACCACCTGGAAAATGGATGATGGGTAGAGTAGTACAAACTCACCCAGGTCAGGATGGATTAGTTCGTGTAGTCACGTTGAAAACGCAAAATGGAATGATTAAAAGACCCGTAGTGAAACTATCAATCTTGCCAATATCACATGGTTCTAGCAATAGGCACGAAAACGATGGTCCAGAACTCAATTGCAACTTACGGAAACCCGAAGAGCGGAAAGGCTGTAATAAAATCAAGTCTAATTTTGTATCCCTAGTAATGTCGTTGATCTTCTTTATGTCGTTAATCTCATCATCTCATGCCGCCTTCAATATATCAGCTCTACCGAACAACAATTCGCTGTATTTTGAGACAGTAGGTAACATGCAAGTTATTCGAGATAGATGGAATCTTGTAGTCTACTATGACATGAGTCCGTACTGGGAAGCTAATAAAGCCGCCACAAAGTTCTTGGATTATTTACAAAGATGCTGTTCATCGTTAAACGATACTACGCCATGCAACATGATAACGCTCCAGTTAACACACGACTACAACGAAATAAAACACTACAATCAACTTATGATAAATCAGCACTTTGACGCGCGCTCCAGACAGCGTCGCGGGCTCATTGATGGTATCGGTTACGTCGCCAACAGCTTGTTCGGAGTATTAGACGAACGATTCGCGGAACAGTACCGCAAAGATATACATCTCGTAAAGCAAAATGAGAATCATCTTAACAACTTATTGAAAAACCAAACTACTATCATTGAAGCCGAATACAACGTCTTGAAGAGAACCGAGGAAACTATCCAATTACAGCATAAAAATATAAATAAACACTTGAATCAATTAGATACTGCCACTTTGGTTATGAAACATGAACTCGAAGGGTTAGTTGAAGCCCAAAATTTTGCATTCTCAGCATTAACGACTATTAATCTACTGCAAAACCTTAAAAGGATTCAAGATACTTTGATAGATATCGTCACGGATATTTACCATGGGAAATTTAATACTCACCTGTTAAGTCCGGACCAGCTACAACGTGAACTACAGTTTATCTCTGGACAATTAACCCAAGACACTACGTTACCCGTGGACAACCTTCAGACTGATCTTAAACATATGTACAGTATGCTAAAGGTGAAAGCGAGACTATTGCAGGAATACTTTATATTTGAAATCACCTTTCCTTTGACCAGTAGAGATAGCTATAAAATCTACAAAATCATACCAGTCCCTCAACTAGTTCAATATGACATGATGAGTGTGCTACCAGCAGCAGATTTTGTGGCTATAAATTTAAAAAAGGATGCTTTCTTTACAATGTCGCTCAACGAACTTCAACTATGTCTGCACAACGGTCTATCATATTTGTGTAAGGCCAACAAACCTATAAATCGTCTCAGCATTGATGAGAAATTCTGCAAACTGGATAAAAACTTAAAACAATGTATTGTAACTAGATCTCCTTGTCAAGACAGGTGGCTCGAGCTAAATGAGCCAGCAAGGTTCATGTACTTTTGCTGCAATACCTACGCTGTGAGGATTATATGTCAAGATCAAGTTTCCTTTAAACAAATAACAGGAGTAGGTATTATTGACCTAGGTCCGAAATGCATCATAAAAAGTAACGACTTTACTTTGTATTCTCATGCTCTATTAGCTAATTCCATTAAATTAGAATCTGACGTTGTGACTCCTCAAGTAGCCGAATTAAATCATATAGTTAATATATCATTATCTCATTACACCGTCTACGACGATCCTGTAAATAGTACATTAGTTGATCTAGGGAAACAAATAAAACAACTGAAATCTGACAATACTAACTCACTCGATTACACTCTGTCGACGCATGACATTCATCTGTATACGATTAGTTATTGCCTCCTGGGTGCTGCCATTCTGGTCGCGGTGTATTTCATATGGAAGCGGTGCCAAGCCGTTACTGCCGTGGAGTTACCTCAAAGTGTAGCAAATAGTGTTGTGTTTTCGCGAAAGCAGAGTACGGTTGACCGACAGCCGAGTGAAGTGAATATAACCAGTGCGAGTATCGATTGTAACCGCGATATCTCTACATCACCTGTACCTAGAAGGTGTCGCTTTAAACTAGATGATGACATTGTATAGATTTTGTTTATCTTTTTGGCCCGGGAGCATGTACGGTGGAACCATACACTGGTAATGCACTTATGCTTATCCGTGCATTTTTCCTTACTTCATTAATTAATATTAGTCGAGTATTCAGTACATTAATAGCGGTCATCGCGTGTGCTCCCTCGCTCCTTTATAACACTCATAAACCTGTGGTCTGATTATTATATACGTTTTATTATTGACTTTATAACTGCCGTATCATTTCAACTACTACCCAATTCTACAAGGAGTATGTACTGAATGCGAATGAATTAACCTTCTGCGGTGTGTGTGTGTCGTGGCGTAATGTATGCGCGGTTGTCACTGGCGCGCTAAATGTAACGTGTGTGCGCGGCTTGCAGTCTCACGCCGCGGCGCTGCCACCAACAGGAAACTCAAAACCTGATCAAATTATTTGTTTTAAACCCACAAGCCGCATAACAGACACGTATTACTAGATATACTGCCTTCATCCGTCAGTGGCCCACGGCGGCGCACAGTGTCTGTCCGCTCATGGTGTACTGAAGCGTGGCCTCTCTCGTTGCAGGCTGCTTGCTTGCTGTGTTGGTACCTCCCGTCAACTTCAGCCAACTCCTGCCACCTCGCGGCTCGCGCTGTCCCGAGCGCGGCAGTGGGTGGTTCTAGTGGTGAAACAGTAAGTACTACTATATTACATTTAGGACTACATAATTATAATCCTATGTATAAAATCGGTTGGTATCGCAGTGTTGCGATTGCCTCAGCTGATTTGATCGTTCAAGTCAAGTATCAATTTTAAATAATTCGCTTTCCAGGTAAAACATAGTGTTCTCCATAGAAAAAAAAAAAAATAGTATCAAATAACAAAAAAAAATACATACTAATGGTTTAATTAAAAATAGTAGGTACAGCTTTTGTTACTTTTTTTTTTCTTCCGACCTATTCTAAATAAGTTTTAGGCATACCCAAATAAGATTTTATATATATACCTATGTATGTATGTGTGTGTTTTTATACAAAGGGGGAAATACTTTTACGTATTCTACAAGCTTAGTCGTTTTGCTTGGATATGTCAGACTCAAACATTGACTGGTGACATGTCAATGCTAACACCGACTAATACCTCCCTTCCATTCTCTAGTCTCTGAAACTGCCGTCAGGCAACGCGAGGGCAGAATTTAGCCACTGCTCTTCCTTCTGTTGGCTAAGTCGTTATTTGTCCTTCTCTTCTAATTACCGGCATTCGCTCTTCTTTCGATGGAACACAAGTCTGTGAGTATTTCTGTGTTTAGACGTTCCAGACAGCTTACGATGACAACATACTTGGTTTATGAAGGTGCCCCCGTCAACAAAACAAGGGGTTAAGCACTAGGTGGAGCATGCGAATTTACTACCCTTGTGTTGTATTACAACAGTACGTAACAGACGTAGACGGTATATAATATAAATAAAAAGATCGTACCTACTGCCAAGATAATGATTAAAATGTGCACGACAGTAAGTGCATTGTATATACACTAACTAGTACAACGCGCAGCTGTACGTGGCAAGTCCTAGTATGCCTTTGAATCAAACGCTTTGATTGTATAATGTCTAGATGGAGTGTCAGTTCACAAAAAGCGGCCCAAAAGTTAGCAAGGGACTCTTCAATTGTGTCATCTAGGCGTCACTACGTGCATGCACGCTACAAAATTTGTAAACAAAAAAGTACACTGCAAAGATGGCCACATGCGCCATACAATTGTGCTAAAGTTATAAATGACGGTTAAAAAGTACTAAACAGATCTGTATTGTAACTTTCGTGAGACATACTAGCGCACAGCGCGACAGTCGCCGCGTCGCGGGTCGCGAAATGCTGCTCATGAATATGAGCCTCTAGCATGGTTTGAAACTAGTCGAGTTCCTCGTCAAATTATTACGCGAGTAAGCCGAAAACATAATAATTTATTTACTAAACAGATCATTCAGCGATGGATACGTTTTTTTTTTTTTGAGTGGGGAAACTCATCGAATGACTACTCCCGCCTGGGTGAGGCGGAAGGGAGTGTCAGACTCTTACTGACTAAAAACCACCCCGTTCCTTCTCCTGCACGTCGAGCCGGAGCCCCGGTTACCCGTTAGGTTCTCCGCGACTCCGAATCGGCATCGGCCCTATTGGGCCCCATCTGTGGTGGTCTGATGGCTCTTTGAGGCGCGCGCGGATCGCGACGCGCCGTACGCTCGGGTCTGTTTCTGGTCGGACGGGGCCACCCATGCTCGCCGTCCGCAGGCCCGCGCTTACGGTGGCCGGAGATCGTCCCGCGATCCCCGACGCCCGGTGTGTCCTTCGCGATGGCTGGGTTGTGAGGAGGCAGCGCTTCGCTGCCTCACGCGTCCCGCCTCCTCCTTAGCTAGCATGACTGCTTCGCAAAAGGAGGAGACGGCATCCCAGTCCTCGCTCCGCATCATGGCCTGCACTAGGCCCGGACGCGAGAGGTCGCCATCGCCGATCACTTCCCTGAGGGCACGGCGGTGCTTAACCCATGCAGGGCATTCCGCTACAGTGTGTTCCACCGTGTCCTCAGGGCGGTCCCCGCAGTGATGACACCCGGGCGTTTCCTCCCGCCCCATCAGACACAGGTACCTCCCGAAACTTTCATGTCCGGTGACGACCTGCGTCAGGCGGTAGGTGAGGACGCCGTAGCGTCTCTCAAGCCACTCCTCAAAGAGGGGAGTTACCGCTGCAATGGCAGTAGTAGTAATGTCAGCAGCAGATGGATACGCTAAGTAGGTACTTAATTAAAAATTACACTATTCAATTTATGTTTTTGACCTAACTAATTGCCGCCATATTTTACCAGTGTTGCCAATTTATTTTTCAATATTCCCTTCTCACGGGTCTCATAAATGTAAAAAATTGACAAAAAAACTTCACTTGCTTGTAAATTAAAAATAAAACAATACTTTTATTATTTATTGAACTAACACTTACCTACGCTTTAATGTACTATTCATTCTAACCGACTTAAAAAAGAAGGTTCGTTTCGATCGATCCTTCTTTTTTTTTAACTCGCTTCGCTTGTAACATTTAATATGCATCCACTCGACCGCGCCCCCGCGCCCCCGCGCCCCGTGCAACAGTTTGGTCTAGTCTTTCGAACAATAGTCCCTCGTGTGCGCAGGCCCTCAACTTAGCGACTTTTGTACATTTGATTCTCACTCGTCTTGACTTTTATAAGCAAAATCTACATAATTGAATATCCCGCTCCGAGCAAGACGCAATGTATCGACGTACTTGTTGCGCCTCGCCTCGTGCCAGCGTCCCACACACTATATCTGCCTGCGCCTACATGTAGGTGGTGTAGGTGCTTCACACAGAAGCGCAAACATTACGGTGTATGCAGGTCCACCACATCACTTGTAACTATTCTTATACAACTTTAAAACACGTAGGTATTGTGTAGGGTTCTACTTACAGGCGACTACGCGCGGTCCTTGCGTAGCACTACGTAGCCTGCGTAGCACAACGTAGCCTGCGTAGCACCACGTAGCCTGCGTAGCACAACGTAGCCTGCGTAGCACAACGTAGCCTGCGTAGCACCACGTAGCCTGCATAGCACAACGTAGCCTGCGTAGCACAACGTAGCCTGCGTAGCACAACGTAGCCTGCGTAGCACAACGTAGCCTGCATAGCACAACGTAGCCTGCATAGCACAACGTAGCCTGCGTAGCACCACGTAGCCTGCGTAGCACAACGTAGCCTGCGTAGCACAACGTAGCCTGCGTAGCACCACGTAGCCTGCGTAGCACAACGTAGCCTGCGTAGCACAACGTAGCCTGCGTAGCACCACGTAGCCTGCATAGCACAACGTAGCCTGCGTAGCACAACGTAGCCTGCGTAGCACAACGTAGCCTGCGTAGCACCACGTAGCCTGCATAGCACAACGTAGCCTGCATAGCACAACGTAGCCTGCGTAGCACCACGTAGCCTGCGTAGCACAACGTAGCCTGCGTAGCACAACGTAGCCTGCGTCGCACCACGTAGCCTGCATAGCATAACGTAGCCTGCGTACGTAGCACAACGTAGCCTGCGTAGCACCACGTACCGAAACTGTAGAAGGGTAGACGTAGCGTTGTGTAGTCGTACTACGCGCGGTTCCTAGTTGTCGTGTACTGTGCCAAGTCACTAGTCCTCCTGCTGGTACAGCAGCTTGTACGCCTCAATATGATGGTACATGATGATGCACCACCAGACACAGCGCCGGATCTCTTACTTTTGTTATTACTTCAGCTCACAGTCAGACTCGCCTTGCCTCGCTGGCGCCTCAGTTCGCCCCGCGGTGACGTCTTCCGTAACATAATTACGTTATATGTTTCGTTTGCTGGCGACGTCCGACACTGCGCAGTAACTCAAATACAAATACAAGTGCGTTATTGCGACTTGTTAACTCGATCCTGTAAACTGAATTGCCGGAGTCTGTTCGCTTGCCTCCGTCCGCAGTCCGCAGTCCGCGCCGCCGGCCCCCGAGCTGTTCATCCAGCTTCTACCATATTTATGAACGTAATGTTATGTTCGATAATGTTATAATTACTGTTTGGTGTTTACATGTCCGAATTAACAACGACTTTAATATACTATTACTATTTATGTAGCATAACAATACGATATTTTACGCCATGTAAGAAAATATAAGAATAAAATGATGATTCCAAACATTCTTGCATTCAAGAACAGGACAGCGATATTATACGACCTTCTGGAATGTAAAATGTAATGTTGCCACGCGTCTACGCATTTTTATTTATTTGACTCACTTCTTTGATCACTTTGACTGGATTTTAATGTTACATTGTTCTCGCACAATCCAAACAGCAAAACTATGTAACTAGTAAATTGTATTGTGAACATGATTGAAAAAGAGTAACCTATGGAGTTTCTTGCTCGTTCTTCTCCATAGGAATCTACACCTTGGAAAGAACAAATAGCTTCACTTTTAATTTTTGTTTTTGTTGACGTTCAAAAGTGCCATTCTGGCCTAATTGAAATAAATGATTTTGACTTTGACTTTGACTTGAAAACAAGTGTGGCATAAACAACAACAACAACAGCTCTGGCATAGCACTAATTGAGGTTTTAGATAATATTCCATGGGCTTTGACAACTGGGTTTTATCAATTGTGCAGACTGTTTATGCAAGTAAAAGCTTCAGTAATTATTTTGGAAAAAAATAAAGCAAGTGAAAAGTATTCGTTATCTTCTCCTCATTGTCCTCATGGTTCGATAGCAGTAACTGTTCTGTTCCCTACATGTCTGCACTCGCAAACTCGTCAAGTAACAACGCTTGCAATGAATGTACATTGTACATACATGGCAGTAACATTCGACGTTCTGTACCCACTTACTTACTCAACTCTAAGTCTATTTATATACGACGACTGCCTAGTGACAGCGCCCACCGTGCAGTCAATGAATCTATGACTGTATGAATGTTGCCTTACTTACATGCAGTTTTCAACAATTGCAAATACTTCCGTAGTTTACGATCACTCCACAGCACCTACGAGTTGTTTCACCATGTACTGTGTCGTTGCAGGTGATGCCGGCTCGTGCGGCGGCGCAGTGAGCGCGCTGACATGGACGACCCCGAGCGCATCGCGCGCGACGCAGCCGCCTGCCAGCAGGAGATCAACGGCACCGCGCCCCCCGCGCCCCTCTACTGCGAGGGCACCTTCGACTCCTGGCTGTGCTGGCCGCCCACTCCTGCCAACACCACCGCTTATCGCGCCTGCCCCGACTTTGTGCCCGGCTTCAGTCCAGACCGTGCGTGTCCACCTCGTGCCGCGTGCAGTGCTGCGTGCTGTGCTCCGCTCTATAGTGCGCTCTCTTGTTGCAGTGTTGGCACACAAGGAATGCACTGCGAACGGCACGTGGTGGCAGCATCCGCAGACTGGCCGGCCCTGGTCCAACTACACCACCTGCGTCAAGCCGGAGGATGTGAGGGTTGCTCGAGTTCCGCCGCGATGCTGCGTGAAAGAGGTGGACACTAAGCGACCGTGTTTGTTATACAGGATGTCAGCGACATCATCGCTGTGTACGAAGCGGGATACAGCGTGTCACTGGTGGCGCTGCTGCTGTCGCTGGCCATCTTGCTGTACTTCAAGTGAGTGCGCTGGCTCCGCCCCGCCCCGCCCCGCCCCGCCGCCGCTAACTGTGTCATGTGGGCGCAGGTCGCTGCGGTGCGCGCGCATCACGGTGCACATGAACCTGTTCGCATCGTTCGCGGCCAACAACGCGCTGTGGCTGGCGTGGTACGGGCTGGTGGTGCGCTCGCCCGCCACGCTCACGGCGTCGCCCGTCTGGTGCCGCGTGCTCAACGCCGCGCTGCAGTACGCGCTGCTCACCAACTACACGTGGATGCTGTGCGAGGGCCTGTACCTGCACACGGTGCTGGTGAGCGCCTTCGTGTCGGAGCGCCGCCTGCTGCGCGCGCTGCTGGCGTTGGGCTGGCTGCTGCCGCTGACGTCGGCGGCGGTGTACGCGGGGCGCCGCGCGGCCGGCCACGAGCCGCTGTGCTGGATGGACGAGGGCACGCCGCGCCTCGAGCTGGCCGTGCTGGCGTGCGGGGCCGTGCTGCTCAACGTGGCCTTCCTATGCAACATCGTGCGCGTGCTGTGTACCAAGCTGCGCGCCGGCGGCAGTGTAGGCGGTGCCGGGGGTCCCGCTCGGCCCTCCGCCACTGCGCTGCACGCTCTGCGCGCGACCTGCCTGCTGGCGCCGCTGCTAGGCCTGCAGTATCTGCTCATGCCGTTCCGACCGGACCACACGGCGCGCTGGTGGCTGGCCTACGAGTACGTGTCCGCGCTGACGACGTCGCTGCAGGGGCTGTGCGTAGCCGTGCTCTACTGCTTCTGCAACGGAGAGGTGCTGGCGCAGCTGCGGCGGCGGTGGCGCGTGCTGACGTTCCGGCCGCGCGCCAACTCGGCCACGGCCACGACGGTGTCGGTGAGTATGTGCGGCGCGGCCGGCCGCCGGCCCCCGCTGGCCCCGCGCGCCTCACCCCCGCGCGTGTTGCAGTTCGTGCGCTCGAGCGCGCCCGGCGCCGGCGAGGACAAGGTGTGACTGGCGGCGGGCGGCGAGGCGGCCGACAGCTCGGCGCCCGAGCGCCGCCGCACCATCCGCTTCGAGTGCGTCGACAGCGACGACGACGCGCCCCCGGACACGCGGCTGCTGTGAGCGCCGCCGCCGCCCGCGCCCTCTGTGTCAGTGCGACTCACGAACATTACGACTGCAATGTCAGTGTCAATGACTGGTCTCTAATTGTATCTCTACAGTGTATTGTACATATCTGTAAATAGTATTTTTACAAAAAAAATAATAAATAAGGGTGTCTCAGGATCAGGCTTGTTTCATTCCTCCTGCGTGGCCCTGGCTGCGCCCATCGTGACCTACTTGCCCACTGACCGATATTTGATCATTGACTATTATTATCTTGATATCAGCAGCACGCTTGTTACACTGCCAATTTAACAATTATATTCGCATTTAAGAGATGACAAGAATGCGAACTCAAGTGATGTATTTTGTGAATATTCTAACGAGGTAACCGTTTTAATTATAGCCTATAAGAGCAGACGGTTAATTGGTCTGTGCACCTGTGAGTAAATATACAGGCGCGGGGCGCGGGGTACGAGGCGCGGGGCGCGGGGCGGGCATTGTCTCCGCGTACCAATCAATTGGCACTCCTGCCATCGATACTAATTTAAACTGTTCTGTTCGATTGTCAGGCTATCTATTAATACGCTGCGCCGGCGCATCCCAGCACCACCTTATATGGCTGCCGGAGAGATTGTAAACTACACATGGTTTACTGGGGGCTAATTAGGTCGTACATTAACACATCGTACACTCAATTATAAAATTATATTAAACAACGTACACTTAAAGTAGTTCCCTTAAATGATAACGCAACAGCGAGCAGTCTCCGACAGAGAGTATAAAATAAATACATTTGTTTTGGTAACAAGTACAATATCAAGTTGAGCGGAAGCGCCGCTTAGAAGCACTTGCGGTGCACGATGCCGGGGCCGGACTCGTCGTACTCCTGCTTGGAGATCCACATCTGCTGGAAGGTGGACAGCGAGGCCAGGATGGAGCCGCCGATCCACACGGAGTACTTGCGCTCGGGCGGCGCGATGATCTTGATCTTGATGGTGGACGGGGCCAGCGCAGTGATCTCTTTCTGCATGCGGTCAGCGATACCTGGGTACATGGTGGTACCGCCGGACAACACCGTGTTAGCGTACAGGTCCTTGCGGATGTCGACATCGCACTTCATGATGGAGTTGTACACAGTCTCGTGGATACCACACGACTCCATACCCAGGAACGAGGGCTGGAACAGTGCCTCGGGGCAGCGGAAGCGCTCGTTGCCGATGGTGATGACCTGTCCGTCGGGCAGCTCGTACGACTTCTCCAGCGAGGTGGACGCGGCCGCCGTCTGCATCTCCTGCTCGAAGTCGAGCGCCACGTAGCACAGCTTCTCCTTGATGTCGCGCACGATCTCGCGCTCCGCCGTCGTCGTGAACGAGTAGCCGCGCTCCGTCAGGATCTTCATGAGGTAGTCGGTGAGGTCGCGGCCCGCCAGGTCCAGGCGCAGGATGGCGTGCGGGAGCGCGTAGCCCTCGTAGATGGGCACGGTGTGCGACACGCCGTCGCCCGAGTCCAGCACGATGCCGGTGGTACGACCGGAGGCGTACAGGGACAGCACGGCCTGGATGGCCACGTACATGGCGGGGCAGTTGAACGTCTCGAACATGATCTGCGTCATTTTCTCGCGGTTGGCTTTGGGGTTGAGCGGTGCCTCCGTCAATAGAATGGGGTGCTCCTCGGGAGCCACGCGCAGCTCGTTGTAGAAGGTGTGGTGCCAGATCTTCTCCATGTCGTCCCAGTTTGTGATGATGCCGTGTTCGATCGGGTACTTGAGTGTGAGGATACCTCGCTTGCTTTGAGCTTCATCACCTACATAGGAATCTTTCTGCCCCATGCCCACCATGACACCTTGGTGGCGAGGTCGGCCCACGATGGACGGGAACACGGCGCGAGGCGCGTCGTCTCCTGCGAATCCGGCCTTGCACATGCCGGAGCCATTGTCGACTACCAGCGCGCCCGCATCATCGTCGCACATCTTGACTCAGACAGTAGAGACTGGCACCAGCACACAACACTCGGCGCAGGCGGCGGTCGCACGGCGGTAGTGAGCGCAGGCGGGCGGCGCGCGCACTATATACGCGCCGCGCGCCGCTCTTGGCACTCGCTGCAGCCCCTACAAGGCGCTGCGCCTCCCGCCCGCCGCCGCCGACACTCGCGACTGCCATTTAAGACAATCATCCGCATGCACGACACCTCACTACATCAGTACATCGCTCTCGGAAAAAATAGCTCAATGAGACACGTCACTAGCACTGGTAACGTCGCGCGTTTCTCTGTACGCGCACAGCCCCCTAACATATGCAAGTATAGCTTACTTGTAACTTACCGTTTAGAACTCTGGCTGGCACTCAGTGGTCGTTCATTCCGCGGTAAACAACCAAGTCAAACGCAACATTACCTTAATGTATTTGTAACATGAAGGTGCTGCGCGCTGTGTCAGTCAGATGGTCCGAGCTGTGGCTAGCAGGAGCTAAGTTTATTGAAGGGATTTACTGGCCGTATAACTAATGTAATGTAGAATATTTCGACGTATTCGGGTGCCAAGCTTTAAAGGTAGACCTAAAACTGTGCGCTAATGATCGATGAGTCGGGTTAGTTGTCAATGTCACACTCCCTATATTCGGTTAATCAGATCATGGACGTCTTTTTATTCTACGACTCATAACACGCAGGTGTGTGACTCGCCTGTACAATACCGACAGTATTTTTATTTCAAGCGTGTTGTTCTAATCTAAGTGGTTGTAGGCCAGTGACAGTTGTGGCTACAACATCAACAGGTGACATCTCTACATAACAGGGGTTGGTCATAATCCCCACACTTGGTGAGCGAGTCGGAGGTCGCCGTTGAAAGAGTCAAGTTTTAAAGGCGTAATTCTTTTTCATACTAAAGCAGTTAACTTAGAATTATAATTTAATGATATTGAACCACTATTCTGGATAACGTAAGCAAAAATATAAACAAAAAAAATAAAGAACTGTAGCAACAAAAGGATCTTTGCCGATCACCTCGTGCCATACTAATGCGAAAGAAGACTAACAATGCAAGTTAACTTTTAATGAAATCTCACGACTTCTACCCGAATGGCTAGCCATGCACTTGGTACCTTTTTTATAATATTCGAATTTAATTGTGGATGAATTTGGACGTCATCCCGATCTCTGAACTTCAGCCCAAGGAGTAGAGCAGCCTACCTACCTACCCACTAAAAAGGTCCTAGCGGAGGGAGATCCAGTAAATAGATTTATTGCGAATTGTGTTATTATTTATAAACGTTTTTGACCTACTATTTAAAAAAAATATATTCTGATTGACCTGTTGACGACCCGGCCCTAGCCATCTCTTAACTAAAAGTTACTTAGCGTAACGTACCACTTAAACTAACCCCTTTCTTGTACTATTATGAGTCACTTATAGGTTAGTGAAAACCAACATGATGTTAAGCGACACCTTTCTCGGGGGTTCCTTAAACTATCGGAGACGTGGGTGAAAACGGGCAATACATTCACAAATGATCTTCTTTACTTGAAATTTAAACATTGTAATAGATAACCATTTCGGTAAAAGTTGTAACAATTTAAATGTAAAATTGTAAGATGAACCTTATTATTGTACTACCTTAGTCCATTATTAGTCTAATATCGTTGTTTTAGTCCGGTATGCTGAAGTAGTATATCTCATATATAAGAAGCATATCTCTTAATCAAATTATAAAAAAAGTCCTACATTCTATGAATTTCGGATCACTGTGTCTGAATTATTCGGACACGGGAATCTTAATACCGCGATGTAGATTGTGACGTATTTTAACAACGCCATCTAGTTTCGTGCGGTAGATCCATTTAACTACAAACAATTATAATTGTGTATTTGATGATTACACGTAGTAAGTAAACTACTAAAGTAAGATACCTAATTAAATAATAAATGTAGGGCCAGCGTGGAGCTTTGATTGTATATGTCCCTTGGAATTATTTATTTATTTATTTAATATGGTTTTAAGAAGGATCTCTTTTCTTTCTTTCTTCTTTCTAAGGATCTCCAACAGAGAATCCACATAACATACACAATGATAATACAAAACAGATATCTTGTGCTTCTCCAATTAGGTAGTTTCCAGGGTATCAAAATTAACAATCTAATTAGTCCGTCAGTTAGATAATGAAAAAATATCAGACACGTATTTTTTATTATTTTCTCGTATTAAGTTGCAATACTTAGATAAAATGGCGCTAAGGTTAGGAGTGGGAGGTCGTTACGTCAAAACGTGCTACAAATTGTGGCACGCTGTGACGTCTAAAGTTTTAGATATTTTATTATTTATTATTATAGTCTACCAGACTAACCGGACGTTAAACGGATGGACTATGACGGACAATGTTAATCGAGCGATCCACTGCCAATGAGACTTTTGAGTGAGCATGACAACTCCAAGCTGACACACACATTACAAAGTTTTACAATTCAACAAAATGGTTGTATTTTTACATGATTGGAACTCATTGGAACATCAATGTTTTTCGCTATCCTGTGGAGCCGGACCGGCCTGCCTCCAAGCATTTTTATCCTATGTAATCATTAAGTTTGTAGTAATCTGAGCTAAGCTAGCTAGAAAGATCTGAGCAATCCATTCTATTGTTAAGCAACTTGTACAGAAATGTTAGATCAAGCATGATGCGGCGAGACTCGAGATCAGTGAGTTTAAAATAATTCAACCTATACTCATAAGATCTAGAATTTCTTAATTTGAATCTAAAGGCCAAGTGGCTAAGGTGCTTTTTCTGAACTTTCTCGATTCGAGAGATGTGGACTTGGTATGAAGGGCTCCAAACCGCACTACAGTATTCTAACTGGCTTCGCACGTAGCTGTTGTAGGCTGGTGGAAGGTCTTTTAAATTCCTTTGATACCCGCAGTACAAAACCAAGGGCGCGAAACCCTGAGTTCAGGATTTTATCTATATGTTCAAGAAAGTTAAGTTTGCTGTCCAAATTGCTTCCCAAATCCCTGATTAATGTAACTTCAGATAGTTTGTTCCCTTGGATATTAGAGGTATATGAAGACTGTATCTTATTTTGTAATAACGCGCGCCAATTTCAAGTCGTCCGCGAATAGGATTTTTTTTATATAGGGAAAACCATCGAATGACTTCTCCGGCCTGGGTGAGGCGGAAGGGAGTATCAGACTCTTACTGACTAAAAACCACCCCGTTCCTTCTCCTGCACTTCGAGCCGGAGCCCCGGAGAACCTAAAGGGTTACCCTTTAGGTTCTCCGCGACTCCGAATCGGCCCGCGAATAGGAATGCTATCGAGTTTTTAAATACTTGTGTAATATCGATAACAAAAATATTAAAGAACAAAGGCCCCAGATTAGATCCCTGTGGTACACTGGACGAGGTAAAGTACGGGTCCGACTCGTCACCATCTACCACAACTGTGGACGATCAGTGTTCGAGATATGATCTCCACTTGAGCATGGTACTAACAACACCTAAGGATTTGAATTTATTTCATGGTACACTTTGTCAATGGCCTTGGAAAAATCTGTGAATATTGCATCAACTTGGAGACCTTGATTAACTGCTGATGTTATTTCAGTGACGTAAGCGACCAGAATTGTTTCCGTAGACTTTTTGACAGTAAAGCCATGTTGGTTGTTGGACAGATACATTCTCACATGATAAGATAATCATGTCTCTGCGCTATTATTGCCAGGACAGTGTTGGAAGTTTGGAACTAGCCAATACTCCGTGTACGAGAGCGCCGGCTCGCTTACGTATAGTTGCATGGAAGCCGTCAATGTGTACGAAAATTCCCGGCGCACTATAACGACGGGATACCTCCAACACTGCCCTGAACTAATTATTATTAAAATATATGTGTTGTATCCCTGTAAAGAGGGGTTACCATGCCCAAAGTTTAAAACTAATTTTTACCGACTTTAAACAAAGGAGGAGGTACTATGTTCGGCTGATTGTTTTTTTTTTGTTTGTTCGCGCAGGACTCCGCCACTTGTGAACCGATTTCCAAAATTTTTATTTTGTTTGAAGGGTTATACTCCCGAGATGGTCCCGTTTCCATGAGGTCAGGATCTGATGATGGGATCCTAGGGAAACCAAGGGGAACTTTCGAAAATTCTATGGGCGAGTAATGCGTCTATTATGTTTTTCAATTACGATTTTTAAACACTACAATTTGATAAGGTTCTGCAGTCGACCTGATGATGGAGCCGACAGACAGTCGAGGGAACTCCTCAGCGGTTTATATTAACTACGTTGTGTTTGGGCTTGATTAATTTGTATTGATGAGTACTTTACACCTATATAGAGTGGGGCTGTCATTAAGGGTCTGATGATGAAGAAGTGTAATTGTTAAGGGAACTTCTCAACGGTATACTGTAAATACCTTGTATTTGGGCTTGTATAATTTGTATTGATTACAACTTTATACATATGTAGATTATAAGTAACAAATCGGGTATATGGAGCTTTACACTGAAAATAATAAAATAAAAACTGCGTTTAAAAAACCGACTTCAAAAAACCAAAAACTAATAACAAACAAAAAGTCAAAACTAAAAAGCAAAAAATAACTATTATTAGTAGTGGTAGGTTACCCACCCACTGATAGGTTAGAAGTCACTGTCATAAGCTCATATGATAAAGATATAACTTAATGCCCACAAAATTGTGAATTAGGTACCTATTAAGGTTTTAATGAATAATTTTGTTACCTGTAAAGAGGGGTTGTCAATAGACGGAAAAAAATATATTAATAAAAAGTTAAATACAATACCCTGTATAGGAGGGGTTAATAAGTAATCAGATAGGTATAAAATCTTGTCAATGAATAATTATAATAAACTTAATGAATAAGAAGTGACTAAAGTTCGACTTTCAACTAGGTCCCAACATGACACAGGCATTCGACTACGTACAGCATAATATACTACTAAATAAACTTGAGGCATATGGTATCAGGGGAA